TAAAAGACAATGGAAACACCTCACTGTCAGCTTCGGCTACCATGATTATAAATGCAGTGGAGGCCAAAGAGGCGTTTGCATCATCTGAAATTAAACGCTCAGTAAATGTGGAAGAGGAGAACAACATCACATTGTATCTGATGATCTCTCTGGGCTCTGTTTCAGCGCTTTTTGTATTCAGTATAATCGGCCTGATTGTCATGCAGTGCTCTAAACCTCCAGACTATTCCTCCAAGTACTCACGTGACTCCAACTGCATAGACACGAGCGGGAACGGAACTCTGTGTCACAGTATCCAGTACAGATCTGGAGAGAAACGGTATATGCTCGTAGGACCCAGGATGAGTATCGGTTCTGCTATTGTCCCTGGGAGTAACGGGAATACGCTTGTGGTCCATGAACACAGTAAGAGAATATCCGGTGAGGTAAGGCGTTTTCACTTCTTTGTACCTTTCAACATAACACAGTTCTTCTCTTTTCTGTTTTTATTTTATTTCCTGTTCTTGTTTTGTAATACTTTGCTTATTGTACTTAATATTGCAAATGACACTTGTAACTCTTAATTTGCTTTTTTTTAAGAAATTGACATTGAAATAATACTAATGCAGTCAATATTTATTTATTCATTCATCTCTTTGACCCTCTTTGTTGGCGTGTTTAAAATAATTTATTGAGATTTCAGACAGTTGTACCATAACATAGCAGTGTCAGTAAGATATCTGTTGTTAGAGGCTGACATACCACTTTCCTTTTACTGACTCATGCTTCCATGGTTGATTATTTGAGTGTTTTCTTTTAATTTAAGCTGGGCAATACAAAATACTGAATGCCACAGTAAATGGTGCTGAACACAGAAGCATTAATGAATCGTATTAGGTCATGTGGCACACAGGACGGTTTGGTCTTTCTCATGTTCCATATTGTTCCATCCACCCAGCCTTCCATTCATCTGCTAGCCAATCACCCTGGTCAGCATAGAGGGTGGGGGGGGGGCTGGGAAAAATGCTACGATACATCTTAGGTGTGATGATTTACAGATTTACCTGTAGGCAAGACTTTGTTTGAAAAATGGTGAATTAATCAGGCATCACAGTAATCAATTAAACAGTAACTAAGCAATAAAGACAATTTCAGTCCATTTTTAAATCAACCATTACCTGTTTGATTAACCCCTATTTTAATAATGTTTTCCCGTAATTCAAATGTTAAGAGTTTGCTATTTATTGGTATGTTAAGTTACGAAGTACCACCAGGGATTTCCATGAAATTCTTTTTTAGTTAAAATTCAGTTTAAAAATATGGCTGTTAGAACTGAAAGCGGTTTATGGTGTGCTAAGCTCAATGTCTGCCTTGCTTTTTAGCTGTTTGACATTACTGGTGATTTACTGGAAACGCCTCTACTTTAAAAAAGCGGCATAGTTCTCACTACAGGTGACGTAGTGGTCAGCACTGTCGCCTCACACCTCTGAGACCAGGGTTCGAGTCTCTGCTTTGGCTCCATGTGTGTGGAGTTTGCATGTTCTTCCCGTGTCATCGTGGGGTTTCCTATGGATACTCTGGTTTCCCCCCACAGTCCAAAAACATGCTGAGGTTAATTGGAGTTACCACATTGTCCGTAGGTGAGCCATTGGTGGGTTTTTGCCTCCTCATCCCATTTTCTTCCTGGGTTTTTCCCTGCCTTGCCCCCGTACCCTCTGGCATAGGCTCCATGCCCTCTGGCATAGGCTCCGTGCCCTCTGGCATAGGCTCCATGCCCTCTGGCATAGGCTCCAGACCCACTGACCCTTAATAGGACAAGTGATTAATCAAATATAGCTGCATTTCCCTGCTGCAAAAATGCTGCAAGGGTGGGAGGTCCAGCTACCAATCCTGATGGCTGCCTAACTATCTGGGGGTTTAATTAAAATTAATTAGCGTATTTATTTGGGGGGGTAAACAACAATTCTGGAGGCTACATCGCTCCGAAAACATCCCCAGAAATACCCCAAGTATCCATCTGCAAATCCGTATTTATTCCAGGAAGACAGCCTGTATTAAAAAACATGTCAGCAGCACGAGATATTTGCCTGCTAACTAGCTATAGCTCGCATTTGCTTCACAAGAAATACAGTGAAGTATGATATTAAAACTAGTGTAATTAAAGTCAGGAATGTAACCCGCATGCATTTCTGTTGATTTTTTCACTCGCCCTTTTGTGCCCCTTTACCAAACGGCACCGCAGGCGTTGTCTCTGTTTCCTATTGGGTGGCTCAGGCAAACTAAGCAGCTGCCTAGGACCCAATCAGCAAAAGGGGGCCCAGATTAAGTCCCTGGTCAGTAAAATTACAGAGTCCATTCCCCCGCCACCCAATCAGTCATGTCTCAGAGGGGCCCCCTCCCCACTAAGGGCCCCTTAAACACTTGATCTGGCCCGTTTCAATATGATTTCATTCCTTTGGATTATAATCCAAATCACTGAGAATTTTATTGTGTGTTATACCAATTAATAATGGAAGCCTGAGAGAAAGAAACGTGAAAGAATTTAATCCGTTTTCATTATGAAAATGGTACGAATAGTCATTAATATTCAAAACGTCAACAGCAATTTGGCGCATCTCATACAGGTTCTCAACCACAGTTTTAAGAAAATAATAGCATAAAGTGTCTATGTGTGAAAAGTCCGAGTTAAACTCTTCTAAATCGTCTTAGTTTATTAACCGAGCAAGAAGGTAAACGGGAAAAATGTTTCTTAGTAAAATCTGTGTATGCAGACTGATTATGGGTGTGCTTCTTTGAGTACACGGTTGGTAGAGAATATTCATTACTATTTGTGATCATTAGGATGACTGGGCATCGGTGATGTAGTTGAGATCGGACTAGTAATTTTAGAAAGATATGCAAAAGCGATTTTTTTTATCGTAGTGATAAATTATCTAATTTTCCCTACTCCTCTCGAAATAACGGTACATGTTGATAAAATAACGATAAAACTTAACTATTATCCACCTCCTCTGTATTCAGATGTTATTTTACTCAATTTTATTTAACTCTGAAAAGACGGAACTACCGTGCAAATTTACTTTGAAACGATTTTAAACGGTAATTTCAATTATGTCACACGGAGTCGCACGGCGGCGGTGTTGTCAAAGAAACTGAACAAAACCTGTACCATTTTTCATAACATACGGGGTTTATGCTGGAGATCCGTTCGGGGACGTGGGTAGACCACAGACGAGGAGCTGGATGACACAAACAAACAGCATTTTATTCCGTAAATGCGCTATCATTTATTTCTCGGCGAAAGCTTACTGATTATGTTATTTATGTTTCTGGTTATTTAATGGAATATTTGAGATATAATCATGTGGAAAGAATACAGTAAGAAGAGACGGGAATACGTGTGGTCATATCTCCATTTTGTGTTTCTCCTGTCATTCTGTGAAAGGACTTTACAAATTCGATACTCTGTTCAGGAGGAATTACCGCTCGGTACCGTAGTCAGAAATATAGCTAAAGACATGGGACTGGATACAAGCGTGTTGGTGGATCGGAATCTGCGCATTGTGACGGGAACAAAGCAGGATCTTTTCCAGGTAAACCAGAGAGACGGCGCTTTGTTCGTGAACCAGAGGATAGACAGAGAGGACCTGTGCGGTAAAACGTCTCCATGTCTGATTAATCTTAAAGCGGTGATAGAAAATCCGCTAGAAGTACATCATATTACTGTAGAAATTTTAGACATAAACGACCATTCCCCGAGTTTCCCCGATAAAGCTTATCGTTTGGAAATTCCGGAATCGACGAAGGTTGGTGCAAAATTCGAGCTAGAAGGAGCTCACGACCCAGACAATGGTTTGAATGCACTGCATTCCTACAAACTGAGTCAGAACGAACACTTTAAGTTGGAAATTGATGAATTAACAGAAGACAACAAAATTCCGCTCATACTGCTCAGTAAACCTTTAGACCGGGAACTGATGTCATCATATAATATACAACTAATAGCCATGGACGGCGGCAGTCCGAGTAGGTCTGGTTGTTTAAATGTGACGGTCATTGTTTTGGATGCTAATGACAATGCACCTTTGTGTGGACAGCAGAAATACACAGTTAGTGTACCAGAGAATATACCAATAGGTACGGTTCTTATACAAGTTAATGCGTCTGATGCAGATGAAGGCATGAATGGCGAAGTCGAATACTCATTTCGCAGTAATTTCAGGACTAAAGCTTCTGAAGTCTTCGATTTGGACGTAAAATCAGGGATAATTGTTGTAAAGGGTTTGATTGATTTTGAAGCAAAACAGGTTTACGAGATAAACATTCAAGTGTCTGATAAGGGAACACTTCCGATGACTTCTTATTGCAAAGTGTTTGTCAAAGTGGAGGATATGAATGATAACACGCCGGAGATACATATAACATCTCAGTCCAATCAGATTCCTGAGAACGCGCCTGTAGGTACCGTGGTGGCGCTGATCGGAGTAACCGACCTGGATTCAGGTGTGAATGGACAGGTAGTTTGTACACTGGCAAAGGACATGCCGTTTGACCTGAAACATTCAAGTGAGGACAATTTCTATTCATTAGTAACAAAGAGCCGTTTAGACAGAGAGTTGGTACCACAGTACGAAATAATTATAACTGCGAGGGACCTGGGATCCCCTTCGTTATCCTCCATTAAGACAGTCCGCGTGGAATTATCAGACGTTAACGACAACAGTCCGGTATTCTCACAGAGTCCCTACACCTTCTATATAATGGAAAATAACGACCCTGGTGCATCTATATTCAAAATTAGTGCCTCTGATGCAGATGAGAGTGAAAATGCCCGAATTTCCTATTCATTTGGGAACTTAATTCCAAGTCAAAGTGTAACATCTTTCTTAAACATTAACTCTGATAGTGGTGATATTTATGCATTGAAAAGCTTTGACTTTGAAACAATGAAAACCTTCCAGTTCCTAATAGTAGCTAAAGACTCCGGAACCCCGTCACTAAGCAGCAACGTCCCAGTGAATGTGTTCATCCTGGATCAGAACGACAATGCGCCGCTCATCCTGTCTCCT